ATTTTTCACCAATGATTGTGCAAGCTCCTCTTTGTTGGGCAGTGTATCCAGGGCACAACATTTTGAAGTACAATAGTCGCTAAACTATTAGTTTCTGACTGGAATACTTCCAGTGTTTGCGTAGTGGTACTGAACTCTGGCTGTATTACCAAGGGAAGATTTAGAATCACCTTTTCTAAACCATAAATTCTAAAACTTGGAAATAAGGTCCTCGACGACATTGAAAAGAACTTGGAGTGAGGATATGGTGGGTATTCTATGCCATCTCATCTGGTATGTTTATCTGGCACTACTATATGAATGAAGGAGCCCAAGTTTGCAATTTGGCTAATATTCAACATGGAATACACGGTGATGGAAGGAGCCAGATGTCTGAGTGCACACTGTCCTGACCTTTGGCGTGAAAACCCTTTACATGCCTTGTTGCCACATAAAATAAAAAAAGAGTAAAAGACCAGTGTTGTTCCTGGTCAAAGTCAGAGTGGAACCTGCAATTTTCCAGATCTAATGTGTTTCATGACCCTTGTCATTGGTCAGACCGGCATCTGCACACCTCCATGTGCTCCTGGAAGAGCAGAACTCATTACCAAGTATCTGAGAGAGGAGGCCTGCAGTCTGGCTTGGGACGCTCTAAGACCTGGCTCTGTTACTTGGCCAAGTTATTCCAGGCTTTTGGCCTACTCATTTGTAATTTTTGGTGTTGGGCATCCTGACCATGAAGCCCCTGAATTATCTCAGATTGTGCAAGCGTGGCCTGTGAAACAGCCGAAACATTCGGTAATTTGGCAAATGTCTGTACCTAAAAGTCAGTGCTGGAACCACTCACGACTTCCATGAGGGGTTTGCGAATGCCTATCTGTAGAATCTGACCACAGCGTTTCAGTGTAACATTACCTTGGTATATCACCTAGGAACGGTCCAGGACCATTTCTGTTTTCAACGCAAAGGGGAAAAATCCTTTCCAATGACTTCACCTGAATTATTTGACATTTCCCAGCCCAGACCCCAGATCTGGTGATCCGATGATCCCAGCCCCAGCCTTCGCACCACCGCAAATAGAGAAAAGACGAGATGTTCCCGAGAGAGCCCTGCTCAATCTAAAGATTAATAGAGAAAATAAATAATGTTGCTATTTTTTAAAACAGCTCTGTTTTGGGTAACTTGTTATGCAGCAATAGGTAACCAGAACAAATGGTAAAGCCTGACGCCTCTGAATGCCCAGAGTAAATATTTTAGCAGCAGAGGCACATGATGTAGGACTGAACACACTTCAGCGGGGTAGGCTACGCAGTCTAAATTTCAAAAAGTTATTTTGCCCATTACATCATTTAACGATTAACTTCAGGGCTTTGGATCTCAGAGTGCAGAAGACCTGGGCCCTGTCTCCAGGGGACAGCTCAGGGCACAGCGAGCCTGGGAGAGCAGTCCATCCCCACCACCCACTGTGCCAGAGTGGAGGGGTGGTGAGGGAGCCACAGATCACTTACAGTTTCTGGAACTTTCAGGAGGCAAGGGGGAGGATCCCAAAGTCCCCATGGGCCCTGAGGGGGTGCACACTGTTTCTGCTTCTGAAGCCCTTCCTTGGCTTCTGAGAACAACCCTCTCTCATTCCCTCCAACCCTTCTGGCTGTTCATTCTCTATCCCCTTTGCAGGCTTGTCCTACTCCTCCTGACCTGGGAACATCAGGGGTGCCCAAAGCTCAGTCCTGGGCCCTCACCCCTTCTTCTCAGCTATAGACCTACCGTGGTATAATAAAAATAGACATTTGGTCTTTGTCCTTGGCTCCTGGAATAGAAAGCCTAAAACTCTTGGAATTTTCTGATAGGACATTTGTTATTACTTACGTTGTTAGTGTTTGTTGTAACAAAATTGTTTGTTATTTATACAGAGTCCCTTTTGATCACACCTGAATTTATAATAATAAGATGACTTAGAATGGGCTCCCTAGAGAGCCTCAAGGTGGGCTGTGTACCAGAAACAGCGACTGATCAGAGGACTGGAACTTTTAACTCCACCCACTGACTTTCAGAAAGGGGCAGGGGCAGGAGACTGAGCTCCTGAGGCCTTGAACAGCAAGGCTGGTGGAGCTTCTGGTTGGGGAGCATGTGGAGACCCCGGAGGCTGGTGCACCCAGAGAGCCCCTGGGAGTCCCATGCCCACCACATACTCTGTCTTCTATCTCTTCCTTTATAATAAACTGGTGAACTCAAGCAAAGTTTTTTCTGAGTTCTGTGAGTCATATGGAAGTGGGGTGGGTCGTGGGAACACAGAATTTGTAGCTGGTGGGGCAGAAATGCGGGCAGCCTGGGCACCCCATTTGCAAGTGGCTTGTGAAGTGGGGGCAGACTTATGGGACTGAGCCTCTAAACTGTGGAGACAGATACTAGCTCCAGGTAGATAACGTCAGAATTGAATTGTTGGACACCCTGTTGGAGAACTGGTGTTAGACACCACTCAGTGTTGGAAAGAACCAGAGAAGCTGAACCGGCTCAAAACGGAATTCATGATCTTGCCCTCCCTCTAGTCCTCTTCTGCCTCTTCTGGGGGTCCTTGCCCCAGTGACTGCTACTGTCTCTACCCAGCAGCTCAAGTCCAAATCCTAAGGCACCTCCCTCCTACCTCCCCCCACCACCCCCTACTTGGGGCCATAAGTGTGCCACATTGACTTTCACTCCTAAGTAGTTCTCAGACTTGCCCACCCCACCACCATCATCTCTTAAGTATGATGACTACAACAATGGCAATAGCCTCCTGTAGGACCCACTCACATTGTTTCGGCCCCCAGGAATTTGCTCTTTGTCCTGAATCCAGAATGATCTTTTCAAAATTTAAACCTGGTTAGTCACATTCATGACTCAAAACTTTTCGATGGCCTCTCCCTGCTCAAGGTTGAGTGGCTGTCCCCTCCCATCCTCAGCTCTGCCAGCTCCTCCCAGCCCCAGCCTTCAAACCACTGCAAATAGAGAAGAGAAACTGTGGCCTTCTTCCAGTCCAGCTCCCCAACACTCCCTCCAACAGAGCCCCTGCGGGGCTCAGCATGTTCTTCCCTGCAGTCCGAGCTTTCCTTTCACCTCACCTTCTTCACAGGCCTCCTGAACAGCTCAGATCCCACCTTCTCAGCATCAGCCAGAGGGGCTGAGTTTGTACAGTGCTGGCCCTTCCAAAGCACTGAGAGCTCCATGGAGGTGGGACCTCTAGCATTTGCACCATACAGAGGAGGGTGGGCTAGGCCTGGGACCAGGGTACCGCGTGACCCTGACAGTGATGCCTCCTCCAATTCCATGCCCTAGCACCTCAGTCTGGTTCCTGTCCTGGAGTGAGCACGTGCCCCAATGAGGGATGTAGCCGAAAGATTCACCATCACCTCAAAATCTCTTTGAAGTCTTATTTTATCTTTAAAATAGCTTGCGAATGTTGTATGCAATTCCATAATGTGGCAGTGTTTATTTAAATGTAAAAGCAATGTCTTCTTTTCCAAATCAGAGTTGCTGCAGGAAGATGGGCCAGGTGTGCCTGGGGCCTCTTGGAGGTGCCATGCCCAATTCGAGACACAATCATGGAATTCCGCACTGGGCATGATATGACCAGCAAGAGTCCAGCAAGGGGACCAGCAGGGCCTGGGTACAGGACACCATGCCCAGCTCAGGCTTAGTAGTAGTGGGGGAGATGTTTCCTCTAAGTTGCCTGGGCTCAGATCCCATGACTGCCAACCTGTGGGGCCTTGGTGATGAGAAATCTTTCCGGAGTGTTTTGTCCTATATGCAGGCAGGAATAACGTGATTCCTATTTCATGGATAGGATATCCCGTAGCTGCTCAATCAATTAATGTTAGATTTTTTTTTTTTTTTTTGACAGATTTTCACTTTTGTCGCCCTGGCTGGAGTGCAAGGGTGGGGCCTCGGCTCACTGCAACCGCTGCCTCCTGGGTTCAAGCGATTCTCCTGCCTCAGCCTCCCGGGTAGCTGGGATTACAGACATGCACCACTATGCCCGGCTAATTTTTTGAATTTTTAGTAGAGATGGGGTTTCCCCATGACGGTCAGGCTGGTCTCAAACTCCCGACCTCAGGTGATCCGCCTGCCTCGGTCTCCCAAAGTGCTGGGATTATAGGCGTGAGCCACAGCGCCGGACCTAATGTTAGCTCTTAACACGCTCCTCATCCTCCACTCACCATCTCTTTTAACATCCCCCCGCAACCCTCTCGCCCCGCCAACATGGCTAAGGCCCTGGCCCCTTTCAATTCTGCCAAACCATGACGTGTTTTAGTTATTAAGCCTTAATTAATTACGTTTCTAAGTTAGTGGTTCTGTTTCTAGAATCCCCAACTTTTTATATAAGTAACTTTATACACATCCTCATTGATTTATCAGCAGTTCCCAGGTACGGTCCCCAGAGTCTAGCATCACCATCCCCTTGTTAGAGATACTTCCAGGACCCAGCCCAGGCCCACTGAGTCAGACACGCTAGGGAGCTGAGAGCAGTGGGGCGCCCCTGTAATCCCAGCTACCTCAGAGGCTGAGACGGAGGACTGCTTGAGGCCGGGAATCTGAGATCAACCTGGGCAGTATAGCAAGACCCCCATCTCGAAAAAATTAGAAAGAAAGAAACTCTGGGAGTGGGGCCCTGTGACGTGCCAACAAGCCCCCGCGTGAGGTCTGTGCATGCTGAAGTGAAAATCACTGACTTAGACGGTCCAGGTGGCCTTAACACTTTTAGAAGTTCCCCCAATCCCCAGGTACCACGACGCACTCCCCCACCCCTCCTGGGCCCCTTGCAAGGCCAGAGCGGCAGGGCGGCAGCCACGCAGTCTGGGCCTGGGCCAGGCCCCCACTCCTGGCAGGTGGGGAGGGGGCGTGGGGAGCTGGCGTCCAGTCGCGGTGGGAGGCGGTGCGCGCGGCGTGGTCGCTGGCCCCGGAGGGCCACCCTTCTCTCTCCCTGCGAGGCCCGGGGCTCGGACTCGCGGGCGCGGCGGGGGGGCCAGGGGGAGGGGCGGGACGTGCTCCAGGCCCCAGCAAGAATGGCCTCCCGCCGCTCTCTGCTGAGGGCCGTAGCCGCTCCCCCGCGCGTCCCCGCACGGTCCCCGCCCCAGACTGGCCGCAGCCCACCCGCGCCGCCACTGGGCAGATGCGGGCGGCGGCTCATGCTTCTCGACTTTCGGAAGCGCAGAGCGGAGCGCGCCTGACCCAGTCAGGCTTCCGAGTGGGACTGGAGTCCCGGGCGCCCTGAAGTTTGGGGAAGGCAGCAGCAGAAGGGAAGGGACGCTCCCTGCCCTCCGGCGGCGTGGGACAGGCCTCCTTCCAGCCTCCGCGTAGGCAAGTTTTCTCCAATTGCGTGCTGCACCGGGGAATCCCCAGGCCCGGGAGACAGCGGAGAGGGGAGCGCTCGGTGACCCTCTGGGGGGCAGACCCGTCAGGCCAAGTTCATGGGCAGAAGTCTCTGTGCACGTGGGGGTCTCTGACGGTTGAGCGCGAGCTCTGCACCCCACTTCGAGGCGCTCCAGAGGCGGAACAGACGCCGGGGTGCGGGTAGGGGCCGCAGGGAAGCTGCGAAGGACAGAAAGTCACCCCCCACATTCCACCCGAGTACTCGGGAACTCGCTTCCAGGTGTCCCAGCGGCCGCGCCTCCCCGCCCTCAGCCCTCCCCCTGGCCCGGGCAGGTTCAACCCGGAGGCGGTGTGGCCCCGGAGCCAGCCCCAGGCCCGCATCCTCCTCCCACTTCGCCCTGGGCAGCCGCAGCTAAAAGCCGGAGGCTCCAAAGTGGAACTCTTGTCGAGCCTGGGCCGACTCGCTTCGGGGACGGCGAGCCTGAGCTGGAGCCCTGAGCTCCTTCCACCGCCCAAGAAGTTAGTTAAGTCTCCAGAGGGGTCCAGTTCCGCCCGGGCAATTCCAGGGACGAACGGGGTCATGGAGCCCACAGGGGCGCGACTAAGTTTGGAGGCGCGGGGACCAGCGCCCTCTGGAGAGCCCCCGCCGGCCGAGGTGCTGCCCGCCCCGGGGGTCCTATGCGTGGAGGGTAGCGGAGACGGCGAGGGCGCTTCGGAGACCCCGAGTCCCGACGCTCAGCTAGACGACAGACCCCTATCCCCGAAGGAAGAGGCCGCCCTCCAGGAGCAGGAGGAGCTGCTGGATTGTCGCGGACGCTGCCGCGCGCGCTCCTTTTCCTTGCCCGCGGATCCCATCCTGCAGGCGGCCAAGTTCCTGCAACAGCAGCGGCAGCAACAGGCTGTGGCGCTGGGCGGCGAGGAGGCGGAAGCCGCGCAGCTCGGCCCGGGCGGCTGCTGCGCCAAGTGCAAGAAGCGAGTGCAGTTCGCGGACACGCTGGGGCTGAGCCTGGCCAGCGTGAAGCACTTCAGCGAGGCGGAGGAGCCGCAGGTGCCGCCCGCCGTGCTCTCGCGCCTCCGAAGCTTCCCCATGCGCGCGGAGGATCTGGAGCAGCTCGGGGACCTGCTGGCCGCAGCGGCGGTGGCCGCGCCCCTCTCAGCGCCGCCTTCCCGGCTCCGGCCGCTATTCCAGCTCCCGGGGCCGAACGCCGCGGCCGAGCTCCTGCAGCGGCAGCGCGTGTGCCTGGAGAGCGTGCAGTGCTCGGCGGCCCCGGGCGCGGAGGTGAAGGGCTCCGGCCGGGTGCTCAGCTGCCCTGGGCCCAGGGCCGTGACCGTGCGCTACACCTTTACCGAGTGGCGCACCTTCCTGGACGTGCCGGCTGAGCTGCAGCCCGAGCCGCAGGAGCCACAGCCACCAGAGGCGCCATCGGAGGCTTCGGAGCTCCGGTCCGGGGATGCAGAGAAACAGCCAGGAGCCGAGTGCTTCCACTTCTCACTGTGCCTGCCTCCGGGCCTGCAGCCTGAGGATGGAGAGGAAGCCGACGCGCGCAGCGTCGCGGTCCACTTCGCGGTCTGCTACCGCTGCGCGCAGGGTGAGTACTGGGACAACAACGCAGGTGCCAACTACACGCTGCGCTATGCGCGCCCTGCGGACGCGCTCTGAGCCTGGAGCGCTTCGAAGAGCCGTGGGGCGGGGCTAATCAGCACGTGGAGCTCGAGCCGCGGTCCCCAAGGACTTGCTGGGATGCTTTGCTGAGCATGGCGGATCTGAAGACAGGGGCGCGTGGAGGGAAAGTGGGGAGACGTCGAACTGTCGACTCGCATCCCAGCAGACACGTGAGCGAGCTTAGAGAGCCCGGGCAAAGCTCCGGCCTCAGGCTTCTTGTCCTTGGGACCTTCCTACACGGCCTCTAGAATTCCCAGCCTGCGTCAGAACAGGAAGAGACTCCCAAGGCCCGGAGCGGCTGCCTCCAAAGAAAAAGGCTCCCGACTCCCGGGCGTGGTTCTAAGACCTTGGGATTGGTTTTTAACTCTAAATACCGTATTTTAGCCCTTGCAGCTTGCTGGAAACCCCTACGGAAAGGACAAAGCGTCCTGCCACCGTGCACCAAAGGAAGATACCACGGACTGTGGATGCATGGTGCATGGGACCTTTACACCCCAGCCTGTCTCTCAGAGAAAACCCGGGCGGGGATGGGCCAAACTACCGTTTTCTTTTGACTGGGATGTGGGAAATGTTTGCCCAGACTTGGCGCTGTTTACTTGTCCGATTGTGTACAAATGTCCTTTTAAAAAGTAAAGGCCATTCGCCCCCCTTTTTACGCTGTACTCTGTATTTTAGCTCCCGTGCGTTTGGGGAGGCATTGGCAGTCGGCCAATCTTCGTCAGCTGATGATGCGCGCACTTTTAACAATCGTTAAACAACAGTCTACAAATTCCTCTCCTTCAGTCCTTCCGCTCTGCTGCAAAAGGGCCCCAATTTCCCACGTGCTTTAAAATGTTCTGTAGAAAATGTTCTGTCCCCTGCCGTAAGGACGTTTGGTGAATTGAAATGCCAGAGTCCTCGGGCAGGCCTTGGCTGTGATCTGCGAGAGCCGGCCACACACGCCCCAGCGCCCTTTGTGTAGACAGAGCACGCTGTTGTGAGACTCGTCCGGCCATTAGCAGTAGAGAAGCTGGGCCCTTTTAGTGGTGGGACTGCGAGCGCAGAGGATGGAGGATGGAAAGATGCTTTCTATTCCTCTCAGAGCCCCAGTGCGGAGTGGTGACTTGATGGGTGAGGAAGCAGGCCCAGCGAGTCAATGCTACACAGATGCAGATGGGCACCTTGGCAGGCCCGTGGGGTGTGGGGTGGGGTATGGACGGCCTTGGCCGCTGTGCTGGCTGTGGATGTCAAGATGATGTAGCCTTCTGTGCATGAGCGGGTAGAGGGGCATCCTGAGTGAGGTCATGGGTCTGTCACCCCTTGACACTGCCTCAGTAATTTCCTTCTTCTTTTTTTTTTAAGTCTTCCCATTTTACAGCACATGGCTAGTATAATCGGTGGTTTGGGGGATGGTCATCCCTAAGGAGGGACAGTTTCACGGTTGCTTGATGGAACAGGGCTGGGCATGCGTACTACAGCCCATGGGCCCAATTTGGCACACAGCCTATTCTTGTAGGGCCTGTGACCTAAGAATGGTTTTACATTTTTATTTTTTATCTTATTAATATGTTTTGAGATGGAGTTTCATTCTTGTTGTCCAAGCTGGAGTTCAATGGTGCGATCTTGGCTCACTGCAACCTCTGCCTCCTATTCAATCAATTCTCCTGCCTCAGCCTCCAGAGTAGCTGGGATTATAGGTGTCGGCCACCACACTGGGCTAATTTTTCTATTTTTAGTAGAGATGGCGTTTCACCATGCTGGCTAGGCTGGTCTCGAACTCCTGACCTCAGGTGATCCACCCACCTCGGCCTTCCAAAGTGCTAGGATTACAGGCGTGAGCCACCGTACCCAGCCGGAAACGCTGTTTTTTTTTACTTCCAGACCACAAAATAGACACATTCTACCTTGTGATCTGTTGTGTTCGTCCTTGGACTCCCTTTAGCTGATCAGGGAGGCGCCATCAGAACACAGCCCACACTGATCTTTAAATCCTCCAGGGTCTGGTTGTCAGAGTGCTACTGTAACTTCAGGCGCATTCAGATTTAAACTCTTGATTCTTCTTGGTAGACATTGCATCTGCTTTTTGTGAAGTTTAGTTCCTTGACTTTGGTTGACTGTGAACAGGAAAATTTTGGAAAGAACAGAGGCACATGTCAGCTAAATGAAGATTTTTGAGATGGCAAAGATCAAGGGCTTCCTTTTAAGATTCGCCGGTGAGAGAATTTCCTAGTGAGTTGGGTACTAGAAGAATTGAATAGGTGAGATCAATGGAGTAGTAAAAGTCTGTTTAAGTAAGTCATGAGTTCAGAGCAAGTTCAACCAGAAACTCTACATTTATACAAACCACACATACACTTATGCAAACTTTTCTGGTAAGGCAAAGCCATTTTCAAGTGACTTATGAGGCATTTAAGGAAATTGGGCTGGTATAATTTCTCCAACTGTCGTTACTCCTCCCATTTCCATCCTTGTCATTGGTCTGGTCAGGTCCTGTTCTTTGAAACTTGTTACCTGAGGTCCTTTCCCACAGAGTTAACAGCATCTTAACATATCCAGAAACAGGAAATTTGGTCTGAAAATCTCGATGGAATTAGGAATGGGGCAGACAGATTTCATGAACTAAGTTTGCAACATTTCATTTTAAAGTTGAAAATTTCGTGAACACATCCTGCAAATGGTTTTTCTACAAGTAGCTACGCTGGGGTCAGGTTGAGGAGGCATCCCCTCTGGCAGATGAGACTTTTCTGTTCATGGGAAACTAACAACACTTAAAGGGGCCGCCTTGCTGTGCTCTCTCAGGACCTGTGGTTTCAGCTCTTCCCTTGATGGCTTTGGGTAAAGAACCCTTGTCATCAGGAGACTGTTCTGGTGCAGGTGAGGCAGCATCTTTTTAAACCCTTAATAGGTGAAGAGCTCACTATTTCCCAGAAAGAGTTTCCCACCCCACCCCCTGTAGGCATTACATTATTTAAAAAAAAAAGAAAAATGTGGTGAGTTTCTGTTCATAACCACTGTAAGTAGGCTGAAGCAGTCCATTGCGTTCCTTTCAGTCTGGTTAAGCAGCAGTCGTGTTTATGTGCACAGATTTCAAGCAGTTTTTAAAACTGCACCTTTCAGCCAGCAAAACCAGAGCCCCTGTGACACTCAGATCACCATTAGGTGCAGAACCTAAGATTAGTGAGTTTCTGTTTGCTGCATTAGGATTGTAAAAGTGTAGAAGGTCCCCAAGATATCTGTGAATATACTTGGTTGCAAACAAGTGTTAACAATGAAACATGCAATATGTTCTTTGGAAATAAAAATAACTTAGTACACATTTAGAAAGGTCTGTGGGTCCCCCACCCTCCAAAAAAAACCCCACCTGAACTAGATGTTGCTTTTGTAACCAGAATCCTGAGTTATTTTGGATTGTGCTATTTACCAGAGTAATTAAAGATGTATTTATGTGTTGGTGCAATGAGCCCTGGAAGACTGCTTTTTTTGTTTTGTTTTGTGTTTTGTTTTGTTTTGTTTCTGGCAGAGGAAATGATGCCGTTGAGACGTATTGCAAAAATGTTGAGTTCTGAGGCCAGGAGTTGTCCCTGCCTGGCATGACCCACCACTATCGAGAGCATGTGACAGTGGAGGGGGTTGGAATACCCGCCGTGGAGCTCCAAGCCCAGGCCGTGGCTTGTCCTCCCTGGCCCCTGCAGACTCTGGCCTGGGCAGAAGTGCCCTGATGGCTGCTTCAAAGTCAAAGGCAGAGCTTTCTGAGCCTTCACTTTAGACTCTGCCATGTCCAGTTGGTTCAGAAAATCTTACAAAATGAGGCTGATATATCCAGCTATAATTAGTCACCTTATGAAAACTTTTTAAAAGGAGTCTGTGCTATCTGGGTAGATTTGTTGGATCCAAGGGTTTTTACAACAATTCAGCCCCATTTTCTGCAGGCACACGCGTGAGAGGCAACGGTGGATGCCTGTGACCCATTATGTGATAGCAGAGGTTTGGGACTGTAGGGCAAGGGAGACGCAATTTGATGTGCAACGGCTTCCTTGTGAGTAATGGTCCATCGATCACCATTGTAATATCACCGAGATGTCCAAGTCATTTCTTCAGGGTCTGAAAATGCAGTATAGCCTAACCAGGTATGTGTCTGGAGTTCCTGAGCTTTCTAGGGATGCTGCCTGTGAAGGGTCCTGACTTGCCAGTGGGCCTGATGAGAGCCTCAAACCTGACTGGGGTGGTTCTCGGGACTGGGGCAGAGACGGCCATCCACTCTGTTGGTGAAATGTCTGACTTACCTGAAACTGAATGGGGCTGATTGTTCCTTTATAAGCTAGCTACGCAGCAATGGCAAGAATGAGCCACTACTGTGGACAGTGTATTTTAATGTGATTACGTGGAATTTTATACAGTTCCCTCTAATAACGTAAAAGAAAATAAACTCATTTACCTCTGTATTCAGATTTGCCTGAGGTCAGGTGCAGTGGCTGATGCCTATAACCCCAGCACTTTGGGAGGCTGAGGCAGGAGGTTCATTTGAGGCCAGGAGTTCAAGACAAGCCTGGACAACAAAGCAAGACCCCATCTCTATACAAATTTAAAAAAATAGCTGGGCACGGTGGCTCACAACTGTAACCCCAGCATTTTGGGAGGCCAAGGTGGGTGGATCACGAAGTTAGGAGTTCAAGACCAGCCTGAGCAACATAGTGAAACCCCGTCTCTACCAAAAGTACAAAAGTTAGCCAGGTGTGGTGGTGCACGCCTGTAATCCCAGCTACTCAGGAGGCTGAGGCAGGAGAATCGCCTGAACCTGGAAGGAGGAGGTTGCAGTGAGCTGACATTGCGCTACTGTACTCCAGACTGGGCGACAGAGCAAGACCCCGTCTCAAAATAAATAAATAAATAAATAAATAATTAGCCAGGCATGATGGCACACGCCTGTAGTCCAAGCTACTCAGGAGGCTTAGGTGGGAGGATCGCTTGAGCTGAAGAGTTTGAGACTGCAGTGAGCTATGATGGCACCACTGGACTCCAGCCTGGATGACAGAATGGGAGCCTGTCTCTGAAAACAAAACCAAAAATTAGAAAAAACTTTGAGCAATATGCCTGGTGGAATATTAGGGATGATAACAGATTTCTGTGAACATGGTTTTGACAGTGTTTATTTAAACCAAGAACGACTGCAGTCCAAGCCCAGCCTTCAGGCGTCTCCTTGGTTTTTAAACAGGGTAATTCTATCTTTGTGGCTTGAAAATGTCTGTTCAGTGCTCCCCTCCCTGTGCCCACGTGTTCTCACTGTTCAACACCCTCCCCGTGCCCACGTGTTCTCACTGTTCAACGCCCTCCCCGTGCCCACGTGTTCTCACTGTTCAA